GGGCGCGCCGGGCTGGCTGAGCAAGGGAGCGGGGTAGGCTGCGGGGCCGGGGACCGACCGCCTCTGCCGGGTCGCTCCGAGTTCTCAGACCACTCAAGGGCACTCACTGATTCCTGACAGCCAGAAAATAGAAGTCTCTGGAACCTGGGTCCTCCCCGACCCATCTTGCCCCTGAATCCTCCCGGGTTCTCCTCACCGCTTCCTCTTGCAGTGAGTATGCCGGGTTATTTGTAAACGTCTTGGTGCCTCGGAGGTCTGAGGGTCATTACCTGGAGTGGTTCCTAGTAAGTGACCCCTTCCCTCGTGCCACGTTCTGGGTGACTTGCTGTCGCTTTCATTCTTACCGTGAGAAAACAGCAAATGACCCCGTCTCTAACCAGCGAAAAGGGGTTGCAACCTTGGATGTAGGCCTTACTCGCCCTAGCCAGTTTCTCCATAACATCATGGCACAACCCCTCTGGGACTCATCTTTGGACAGGGCCACAGGCTCCCCAGGACCAGGCGGAAGAAACGCTCTCATCTGAGAGGAACTCCACCGAGAGCTGCCTCACCTGCGGTAGTTTGCACACTCCTGCGGTGTGGACTCTACAGCACTGGGCGCACACGCTGCCGTGTGTCTATCAACCCCACAGCGTCTCTGACACAGCCGACCTGCTCTCAGGCCAGTGGTTTTTAGCCGCATTTGATAGCGGAAGAATCATTTGGCAAAGTAACTTGTTCAAGGTCAAAGAACTTTGGAGTTCACTGATCCAGATTTCCCACCTCAAATACCAATGATATTTTTCCGATTCCCCCTCCTCCTCCTCCTTCTTCCTCTTCTTCTTCCTCCTCTTCTTCTTCTTAAAACTATTGAAGGACGTGTTTGCTGGCATTGACTCCCATTAACAGGGTGATGTTCTGAAGGGGTTGACACAAACCACTGGCTTAAGGTAACTTTTCCATTACATATTTTGGCAGTAAGAAGTATATTTTATTGAAGAAGGAAAAGTCTTGTTTCTTTGGGCGGAATTTGGTTTGATTGGACAATAGAAAAAGACAATAATTTAAGTAAGAATTCAAGAATGCTTTGCCACAAATGGCTTCGAATGAAGTAGTTTCCAAGACTGTCCTTTAACACGCTGAGCCACCCTCAAACTAGCTTATTTTTGGTAGCAGAGTGACAGGCAGCTAGCACATTTTAAAATAATAATCCCCGAATGCCATAGGAACCGACCACATTGAAGAAATAGGTTGTGGATCTGCTTTCACTTTCAGTCTTCACTTGTCAGAATGACGTTACACAAGTTCGTGTGCTGCCAGTCTTAAGAGGTAAGCTGTAAGATAACCACACGTCTCAATTCTAAATTATTTGGTGATATACAAAATCACTTAAATAATTTAACTGTTTTAAAGAATTATTTATTTTGTTCATTATTATTTTTAAAATTTGCTACAGGGCACATGCGCTCACCAGAGAGAGAAAATGAGAAAACGAGCTGCCGAGTCCGAGGTTCTGGCTGCAGTCCGCCACGTGGGAGTCCAGTGCCTTAACCACCATGCCACCTGCTGGCCCCAATCATTTAACTTTTGACGAGCAAATTTCTGCCAGGTGTGAAAAAACTGTATTATTTAAAAGACAGCATGAAAACAATAGGTTCTATATAAACAATATAGAATAATTCAGACAGCAAAGAAGCACAGAAAAAGGAGGGAAAGATCACAAGTTTAGATGTGTCCTCTCAGTTGATTGTTTCTGGAAAATAATTAACTCCAGTAAGAGAATTATGTTTCCTTGACATGGTGGGTAACCATGTGAAAGCATTACTTTTCAGCTTCAGTGACCTCCAAAGCTAATCCCTCCCTAAAAACTTGTTCATAATGTTCAGTTAACCTAGTGAGTCATCAATGGATCAAGGAAAAAGACTTTCTCTGTAACAGACTACAACATGTGTTGTAAAAATATAGAATAAGAGGGAACACAGAGAGGATGAATCACTCTCAGCTGCTGGCACCTGACGGGAGAGGACAGAGACCCAGACATCGGGTAAAGGACGGTAGGGTCTGGCAGCTACTGACAGCTATCAATGGCCAGTATGCATCTGCCCAGTGAAAAATGGACGAGGGGAGACAGTTTAGTCAAATTTGAGCAAATACTGAAAGGGCCTTCGAACTGGCCTCAACCTATATAAATGAAGAGAAAGATAAAAATAATATAGCAATGCTTGAAAAATCTTCATTTTCATGTCTCCCCACATCCACCACGTTCACACAGCAAAATGAATCCTTCATTAGAGGGGTGTTTCATTATAAGAGTGCAAACCCTCTTAGATTGCAGGAGTCCCTTGACTTGAATCCAAGGATGGGGAAGAGAAGGTGGTAGGGGTCCAAGTCAGTATGGCCCAAGGAGTTCTTTGGTGGTAATAACAGATATTTTTTAGCTATTCTCCTTGACCTTCTTTAGTGACCATATCCTGGAGGTGCTCCCTGAATTCACCTGAGGGATATTAGAGAAAATGTCCAGGCTAAACTGGATCAGAAGACTTTTGGAATTATCCTGAAGCTAAACTAGGTGCGATGACCTTGATATACCATCCAAAGAACAGAATTAATTTTCAATTCTTTTAAGTTTAGTTCTTAGAGATGTCTCGACATTGTTTGGTTGGCACCCTTGGGGTACATTAACTTGTCTCTGTGGCCACTGATACAATATACAGATTTCTCAGTTGCCTTTAAATATGTGAGAGAAAAGAAACGGAAAACTCTAGGTGTATTATGGAGTGGCAAGGTTATGCTGTTTGTGGGACAGGGATGATTTTACCCAGAAGAGTGAAGTGCAGTCTCTGTATTAAAAGTACTTACTGCCAAGTGTTGCTTTGCTTTGCTTTGCTTTGCTTTGCCCTTTTCTTAACTTTTTGCCATAGGGTGCATGGATTCAGCTGACAGTGACAGAAGATGAGAAATCACTCCCCTCGGGGGATGGACATGCCACAATCTTTTCTCCTCCATTCTCTTCTCGGGATTTTAGGCACACATACACACATGAGCCAGGCATGATTTTCAAGCCACCAGGCTGGGACTCAAACCACAATTTGCCGTAAGAATTCAAGAATGCTTTGCCACAAATGGCTTCGAATGAAGTAGTTTCCAAGACTGTCCTTTAACACGCTGAGCCACCCTCAAACTAGCTTATTTTTGGTAGCAGAGTGACAGGCAGCTAGCACATTTTAAAATAATAATCCCCGAATGCCATAGGAACCGACCACATTGAAGAAATAGGTTGTGGATCTGCTTTCACTTTCAGTCTTCACTTGTCAGAATGACGTTACACAAGTTCGTGTGCTGCCAGTCTTAAGAGGTAAGCTGTAAGATAACCACACGTCTCAATTCTAAATTATTTGGTGATATACAAAATCACTTAAATAATTTAACTGTTTTAAAGAATTATTTATTTTGTTCATTATTATTTTTAAAATTTGCTACAGGGCACATGCGCTCACCAGAGAGAGAAAATGAGAAAACGAGCTGCCGAGTCCGAGGTTCTGGCTGCAGTCCGCCACGTGGGAGTCCAGTGCCTTAACCACCATGCCACCTGCTGGCCCCAATCATTTAACTTTTGATGAGCAAATTTCTGCCAGGTGTGAAAAAACTGTATTATTTAAAAGACAGCATGAAAACAATAGGTTCTATATAAACAATATAGAATAATTCAGACAGCAAAGAAGCACAGAAAAAGGAGGGAAAGATCACAAGTTTAGATGTGTCCTCTCAGTTGATTGTTTCTGGAAAATAATTAACTCCAGTAAGAGAATTATGTTTCCTTGACATGGTGGGTAACCATGTGAAAGCATTACTTTTCAGCTTCAGTGACCTCCAAAGCTAATCCCTCCCTAAAAACTTGTTCATAATGTTCAGTTAACCTAGTGAGTCATCAATGGATCAAGGAAAAAGACTTTCTCTGTAACAGACTACAACATGTGTTGTAAAAATATAGAATAAGAGGGAACACAGAGAGGATGAATCACTCTCAGCTGCTGGCACCTGACGGGAGAGGACAGAGACCCAGACATCGGGTAAAGGACGGTAGGGTCTGGCAGCTACTGACAGCTATCAATGGCCAGTATGCATCTGCCCAGTGAAAAATGGACGAGGGGAGACAGTTTAGTCAAATTTGAGCAAATACTGAAAGGGCCTTCGAACTGGCCTCAACCTATATAAATGAAGAGAAAGATAAAAATAATATAGCAATGCTTGAAAAATCTTCATTTTCATGTCTCCCCACATCCACCACGTTCACACAGCAAAATGAATCCTTCATTAGAGGGGTGTTTCATTATAAGAGTGCAAACCCTCTTAGATTGCAGGAGTCCCTTGACTTGAATCCAAGGATGGGGAAGAGAAGGTGGTAGGGGTCCAAGTCAGTATGGCCCAAGGAGTTCTTTGGTGGTAATAACAGATATTTTTTAGCTATTCTCCTTGACCTTCTTTAGTGACCATATCCTGGAGGTGCTCCCTGAATTCACCTGAGGGATATTAGAGAAAATGTCCAGGCTAAACTGGATCAGAAGACTTTTGGAATTATCCTGAAGCTAAACTAGGTGCGATGACCTTGATATACCATCCAAAGAACAGAATTAATTTTCAATTCTTTTAAGTTTAGTTCTTAGAGATGTCTCGACATTGTTTGGTTGGCACCCTTGGGGTACATTAACTTGTCTCTGTGGCCACTGATACAATATACAGATTTCTCAGTTGCCTTTAAATATGTGAGAGAAAAGAAACGGAAAACTCTAGGTGTATTATGGAGTGGCAAGGTTATGCTGTTTGTGGGACAGGGATGATTTTACCCAGAAGAGTGAAGTGCAGTCTCTGTATTAAAAGTACTTACTGCCAAGTGTTGCTTTGCTTTGCTTTGCTTTGCTTTGCCCTTTTCTTAACTTTTTGCCATAGGGTGCATGGATTCAGCTGACAGTGACAGAAGATGAGAAATCACTCCCCTCGGGGGATGGACATGCCACAATCTTTTCTCCTCCATTCTCTTCTCGGGATTTTAGGCACACATACACACATGAGCCAGGCATGATTTTCAAGCCACCAGGCTGGGACTCAAACCACAATTTGCCGTGTAGGAATCCAGTGTGCCTTCTCCACCACGCCACCTGATGATCCCTGCCCCACAAATGTAGCTTTCTTATGCACCAGAACTGAAGCAGTGGCCACCATACCATCACAGTGGTGTGTGTCAGTGAGTCCTCTGTATCTTCTAACCTTTCCAATTAATTTCAGATTCATGTATCAAATTATATTCTTCACAGTTATTACAGATTAATGAGGTCTACAAACAAATAGTTTTTCCCAGTCTTCATTATACCAATAAACCAGTTGTTCATTCATCTAGTTGGAATCATCCTTTATTTTTCATGTCACATGTACACTATGTGAAAAAATTTTTCAACTGTACTTTCAAAATCTTTACTAGACCCAGCCTAAGTGGTACAGTCCATTGCATACTGGACTGCAGTGCTGGAAGCCACATAGTCAACC